AGTGACCAATCTCGGGGTGTCCCCCCTGCCCCCCCAGACGGCGCTGGCGTTCCTGGGGGTCTCGGGGCTGGTTCACCACGCGCTGGGACTCGACGCCGTCTTCGTGGACCCCGGGGGCGAGTGGAAGTTGGGGGGGCTCGAGCGGGTGGCGGCCGCCAATGAGGGGACCCCAACCCGCCCCCCTGGCGACCCCCCCCGGCCCCAGGACCCCCCCGAGCTCAGCGACCCCTCCCGAGGGCAAGGGGAGCCCTGGTGAGTCTGGGAGGGGACACGGAGGGGGTCACAGGGCTGGATTTGGGGGAGGGTGGCATTGGGGGGCTCTGGAGGGGCTCAGGGGACCATGAGGGTCCCGTGCGCCCCCCCTCCACTGTCACGGCCCCCCCAGGGCAGGGGACATGTGGCGCCTGGGCTGTCTCATCTGGGAGGTCTTCAATGGACCCCTCCCCCGGGCGGGGGCTCTGCGCAGCTTTGGCAAGGTCAGAGAYCCCAAAATCTTGGGGTGCCCCCAAACGTGTGGGATCGTCCCTGCACCCCCCCGCCAACTCATGGGAACCTCCTGGGCTGATCCCCCCCAAGCTCTCGGGATCCTGCCCCAATTTGATCCTGCTAAATTTCTGGGTCTCCCAAATTCCTGGCCCCTTCCAACCCTCAGAGCCTTCGCAGATTCTGGGGTCCCCCTGACTRTTCTCCTCTATCCCCATCTTCCCCTTTGGGCTGATCCCCCCTCAGCTCTGAGAGACCTCCCCAGTCCGTGGGGTCCCCCTGACYCTGTGTCCCCCTCGTGTCCCCCCAGCCCTTGGGGTGCCCTGTCCCCCTGACCCTGTGTCCCCCTCATGTCCCCCTGACCCGGTGTCCCCCTCATGTCCCCCCAGCTGCCCCCCGGGCTGATCCCGCCCTTCTCGGAGCTGGTGGCGGCGGATCCGGGGTCTCGGCCGGGCCCGGGGCCACTCCTGGAGCGGCTGCAGCGCCCGGGAGCCTTCCTGGCCTGCGCCCTGGTGCGCACCGGGCTCTTCCTCGAGCACTTCCAGGTCTGGGAATCRGCCTCATTTTTGTCCTTTCATTGTCATCCTCATCCCTGTTCCATCATCCCCATGCTCATTCTTGGTTCTTTATCCTCATCCCCATTCCTGGTCCCCTGTTCATCCTCGTCCCATTCCTGTGCTCATTCCTGTTCYTTTMTCCTCAYTGTCCTTCTTCCGTCCCCATTTCTGTCCCCTCATCATCCTCCTTATTATCACCCCCTATTCCTTTATCCTCTTCCCCATCCATCTCCTCATCCCCATCCCTTCCTTCACCCTCATCCTCGTTTCCATTTCCATCCCCATCCCTGTCCTGTCATCCCCATCCCTGTTCCCTCATCCTCCTCCCCTGACGTGCCCCCCCGGTGTTTTTGGGACCCCCCCCCGGCAGGTTCGGGACCCCTCGGAGCGCCGGACGTTCCTGCAGGAGCTGCCCCCTCTCCTGGAGTCCCTCCCGGGGCCCTTCCGGAGGCACAAACTGCTCCCGAGGCTGCTCGAGGCCCTGGAGCTGGGCAGCGCCGACGCCAGCGCCCTGCCACCCCTGCTGCAGGTGGGACCCCTAAAATCCCACCCTAATAACCCACATAACCCCAAAATCCCACCCCAATAACCCCTATAACCCTCAAAATCCAACCCAAATAACCCCCATAGTCCCCAAAATTCTACCCATAACCTCCCTGCCACCCCTGCTGCAGGTGGGACCCCTAAAATCCCACCCCAATAACCCACATAACCCCAAAATCCCACCCCAATAATCCCTATAACCCTCAAAGTCCAACCCAAATAACCCACATAACCCCCAAAATCCCACCCCAATAATCCCTATAACCCTCAAAATCCAACCCCAATAACCCACATAACCCCAAAATCCCACCCCAATAACCCCTATAACCCTCAAAATCCAACCCCAATAACCCACATAACCCCCAAAATCCTACCCCTAACCTCCCTGCTGCCCCTGCTGCAGGTGGGACCCCCAAAATCCCACCCCAATAACCCACATAACCCCCAAAATCTCACCCATAACCTCCCTGCTGCAGGTGGGACCCCCCCAAAATGGCCCCCCTCACACCTCCTCAATATTCCCCCAACTCTGTGGTCAAGGTGGTCACATCCCTGGCCTCCCATGTCCCCTCCCCCCACAGGTGGCAAAAGTCCTGGACCCCCCTGAATACCAGGAGCGAATCGTCCCCGTCCTCGTGCGGCTCTTCTCGTCTCCAGAGCGGGGGCTGCGCCTGAGGCTGCTACAGCTGGTGACTGGGAGCACTGGGAGGGGACTGGGATGAGACTGGGAGGGACTGGGAGCACTGGAGTTGGACTGGGATGAAGCTGGGAGGGACTGGGAGCACTGGAGTGGGACTGGGAGGGGACTGGGATGGGGCTGGGATGGTGTTGGAAGGGACTGGGAGAGTTGGGGTAGGTCCATGGGATTTGGGAAGGGCTGGGAGGGATCCATGGCGGGGTGATCTGTGGTTTGGGGGGTCTCTGGGGGGTTTGGGGGGATCCGTTTGGGTGTTCAGGGCTCTCACGGCCCCCCCAGCTTGAGGAGTTCATCGAGTTCCTGCCCGATGCCACGGTGGATTCCCAGATTTTCCCCCACGTYGCCCACGGGTTCCTGGACTCCAACCCGGCCATCCGCGAGCAGACGGTCAAGGTGAGCCCCCAAAATCACCTGGGAACCCCAAACCTCTTGGCACTYGCCCCAAAATTACCTGGGGATCTCCCAAAATTACCTGGGGATGACCCAACCCATCTGTGGACTCCAAAACTCAACTGGTGACCCACAAACCCAACTGGTGACCTGCAAACCGACCTGGAGACCCCCAAAACCCACCTGGGGTGCCCCAAATCCACCTGGGTATTTCCTAAATGGGTGGGACTCAGTGAGGAACCCCTAATCACCTGGGGACACCCCTCCAAAGTCAGCTGGGGACCCCTAAATGGGTGGGATGCCCCTGGTGGGACACCCCCAAACCACTTGGGGACCTCTAATGGGGGGTGGGCACCAAGTAGGACACCCCCCACCACCTGGGCACCCCCAAATGGGTGGAATTGGGTGGGAACCCTCCCAAAATCCCAACCGGGGGTCCCCCCTGACCCTCTCTGTTTGTCCCCTCCCCCAGTCCATGGTGCTGCTGGCRCCCAAGCTGGGGGAGGGGCGCAGGGGGGGGGAGCTGCCCCGGCTGCTGCTGCGGGTGCAGGGAGGGGACGCGCTGGGACCCCTGCGCTGCAACGCCACGCTGTGCCTGGGGCGCCTGGCCCCACACCTTCCCCCCCAGGTGAGCGCTGAGACCTCCAAAAATCCCCCCCAAAATCCCCAGTAACCCCCCTGGGATGCCTGGTCCTCCACCTGCCCCCCCAAAGGTGAGCGCTGAGACCCCCAAAATCCCCCAAAAAAATCCCCAGTAACCCCCCTGGGGTGCCTGGTCCTCCACCTGCCCCCCCCCAGGTGAGCACTGAGACCCCCAAAATCTCCCCAATAACCCCCTTGCTGTGCCTGGGGCGCCTGGCCCCACACCTGCCCCCCCAGGTGAGCACTGAGCCCCCAAAAAAATCCCCAGTAACCCCCCTGGGGTGCCTGGTCCTCCACCTGCCCCCCCCAAGGTGAGCGCTGAGACCCCCAAAATCTCCCCAATAACCCCCCTGCTGTGCCTGGTCCTCCACCTGACCCCCCAGGTGAGCGCTGAGACCCCCAAAATCTCCCCAAAATCCCCAGTAACCCCCCTGGGATGCCTGGCCCCACACCTGCCCCCCCAGGTGAGCGCTGAGACCCCCAAAATCTCCCCAAAATCCCCAGTAACCCCCCTGGGATGCCTGGCCCCACACCTGCCCCCCCAGGTGAGCTCTGAGACCCCCAAAATCCCCCCCAAATATCCCGAGTAACCCCCTGGGATGCCTGGTCCTCCACCAGCCCCACAGGTGAGCTCTGAAACCCCCAAAACTCCTCCAAAATCTCCCCAAAATCCCCAATAACCCCCTGTGGTGCCTGGTCCTCCACCTGCCCCCCCAGGTGAGCACTGAGACCCCCAAAATCCTCCCCAAAAACCCACCCATAACCTCCCCTGTGCTACCCAGGACCCCCTTCTCCCCTCTCCCCCACCTTACTGTGCCCCTTCCCTGCCCCTGTGCCACCTCCATGTCCCCCCTCACTGTGTCCCCCTGTCCCCTCCTCACGATGTCCCCTGTCCCCCCAGACCCGCCGGCGGGTGCTGGCCCCCGCCCTGGCCAGGGCCACCCGGGACCCCTTTCCCCCAGCCCGGGCCGCGGCCGTGGCTGCGTTCGCGGCCACCCACGAGTGCTACGGCCCCGCCGAGGTGGCGGGGAGGGTCCTGCCCCCACTCTGCGCCCTCACCGTGGACCCCCACCCCGGCGTCCGGCAGCAGGTGGGGGGCACGGGGGGCCTGGAGGAATTGGGGAGGGTCTTAATGATGGGGAGGGTCCCAGAATAATTTGGGGTGCGGAACGGTGAGGGGGTTCAGGGTGCAAGGAGGGTCCCGCTGGTGAGGTCCTGGATAAATTGGGGGGACCCAGAGCAATTGGAGAAGGGGGCATCTGGGTGCTGCAGGTCTCAATTAAATGGGGAGGGGGTCCCACAGCAAGGGGTGCTAGGGGAGGTCCCAAAGCAATTGGGGGGGGGTCCCATTCCTGAGGGGATGCTGGGGAGGGGTCCTAAACCAATGTGGGAGGGTTCCCATTATAATGGGAGGTTTTGGGAGGGGTCCCAATGCAGCGAGGGGTGCTGTGGGTCTGGGGGAGGTCTGGGGTGGGGGTCCAGGAGGGTCTCTCACTGTTGGGGTCTCCCCCTGCCCCCTCCCCAGGCGTTCCGGGCCATTCGAAGCTTCCTGGACCAGCTGGAGGCGGCGGCCGAGGCCGGGGGGGGC